TCTGAAAAACATTCTCTTTTTCAGAATTAAAAATTTTTTTAAAATTCTTTATCGTACTCTTTTGCATAAATCTCACTTAAAATATTTGATCTTCCAGGTAAAGAATTGAAATATCTGGCCAGATCGTCGTTAGTTCGCACATTTTCTATCCGTGTTTTTATCCTGAAGTTTAGAATTTCGTTATCAGAAAACTACTAAAATTGGACGGTAAAGTAGATTTACCAAATCTCTTTCCCCAAAAATTTCCCCGTTTATCCACCGATCGACGGGATTAAGAATATCAATCCCTGTATCTCGACCGATTATCATTCGCGCAAATAGCGAAACGACGAGCGTTCACCATCTGGCAGTCGGGTCGCGTTTCATAAAGGTCGACGAGTAAATCCAAGCCGGGGTCGTGAGTTTCTACCATTGACAAACTCCACGGGCCGTCGTGGGTTGGGTGTTTTCTTTGTGATACACGAAATTTCGATTACGCTGCGTCGTTTCGTTTCGCGGCACCGCGCCGCGCCGCGCGCGCGTTATTACGAGTCTCGCGATAACGCGATACAATTATTCGCGACCCATTTCCCGGAATTTCGGCGGACTCGGGCGTATATGTGCAGGCTGCGTTTAATGGAAAACCAGCTGCCGTCGAGTTTCCGAATGGGGGGTTAACGGGGAAGGCGAACCAGGAGCCAGACCCGTGGTATAACATTACTTCAAAGGCGCGTTAAAGTTTCTGCCATTGACTCTTTCAGTCCCCATTTCCCTCTCTCTCTCTCTCTCTCTCTGCTCTCGTTAAGCAACGGCCGATTCTCGTGAATTCACAGGCAGCAAGTGGCCTCCTCCGTTTCCGGGTTAAAGCGCCGCGACGAGCGTGTGCACTGTACGATCCCGAAAACACGTCCTCCATCTGCCAGAGAGAAATTTCCCTATTTCTACGATTTGACCCTTCAAATCCTTTACAAGTCCTCTCTCTCTCTCTCCCCCCGTATAATCCCCTCGAAAAAGGTAGAATCGTCGAGATAAATTGTGACAATAGGAAATAGAGGTGAGGTAAATGTAGAATCGAAAATCCATCGGAATCGAAATAATCGTAGTAATATATTGGAACCACCGGGCACAAAGGAGTTCGATAATTCCACCACCCTTCCGAACGATACCGCCATTAGCACCAACGGCCCATTAACGCTTCAATAAACCCAATAATCCCAGTTCCAGCCAACTTACGAATCATCCTAATTCTAACCACCATTTCCCCTCTCTATCTCCTATCTCTCTACTCACCAAAACTGACCCGACGACAATCTCGCGGACATATTGACCCATCGAAACATCAACACCACGTCTCGTCGTAAACCACCCACCGAATCCGCCCCTCTTTTCCCTCTCCCTTGAAATTCTAATCCAGCTAGAAACGTCCCTCTGGAAAATTTACTTCTGTTTGCTAGACCGGTGTGACGCTAGCTTGTCCACCGCAGACGAAACTCCACATACACACATAGATTACGAATGGTTTACCAGTTTCTTCGGTGGTGCAGGATACCGGGCTGCTGGTGACACCCTCTCCAGCTCTGGTGTACGCGAGCACCTGGACCGTGTATTTGGTGTAGGGGCTCAAGCCGTGTAGCACGGTGCTCAGTGCATGGCTGATCTTCGTCTCTCTGCCGGCTAGCTGTTCCAGAACCGCGCTCGCCGCTTCGTACAGCAACTTGTAACCTTGCACGACCCCGTGAACTTTGTCCGAAGGTGGTGGTTTCCAGGTCACCTGGATGTTCTGGCCTGTAAGGGCGGCGCAGGCGACGTTCTGCGGCGCGGCACTCGGAACTGTGTGGGAAAATCGTGTGAAATTTGTGGAATTGTGGAGAAAGGGGAACACCACTTTATACTTCACTCAGGTGAATTAATCTTTCGATGGGGGAAGATCGTGGACGAACAAAAGGGTCTACTTCGGCGACTGTGTCTGTGGAAATTGGAGGAGAGACGGGAAAAGGTAGTTACAGGTCCGGTTACAACGTGCGGGAAACGGAGGGACTAGGAGTTTTCAGTTTCGGCGGGGAAATTCGAGGATAGAATAGTAGGAGAGATTGTAGAACCGGTGTCGAGTGAATTGTTTCTGTGTTATTAATTGGACGGGGGGAATTAGGCGAGAATGTATTTTCTGCGAATGGAAGTTTCGTGCGAAGGTTTGGGGTAAGTCTGAGTGTGGGGGAGTTTTAAGGGTGACCGAGGTATGTTTGGGTTAGAGTAGAATGTTCTGGGGAAAGCTCTGTTTAGATTGTATTATCTATGGTGGAGCTTCTGTGTATTCTTCTGGATTTAGATTTTTCGCAATTTTGATTTTTGTGAAAATTTTCGTGATTTGTTGGAATCGTTAATCTAAGGATAGGTACGTGTTTGTCCGAGTCTAATGTTCCAGGAAGAGCTTCATGCTATGGTCGAGTTTCTGTGTATTCTTGTAGATTTTGATTTTTTGGCAATTTTAGTTTTTACCAAAATTTTGGGGATTCGTTGAAACATATGCTAAATGGGTAATCTTAGGATATGTGTTTGTCCGAGTCTAATGTTCCAGGAGGAGCTTCATGCTATGGTCGAATTTCTGTGTATTCTTGTAGATTTTGATTTTTTGGCAATTTTAGTTTTTACCAAAATTTTGGGGATTCGTTGAAACATATGCTAAATGGGTAATCTTAGGATATGTGTTTGTCCGAGTCTAATGTTCCAGGAAGAGCTTCATGCTATGGTCGAGTTTCTGTGTATTCTTCTAGATTTTGATTTTTTACGAAAATTTTGGGGATTCGTTGGAACTCTCGATAGGTAATCTAACTTTAGCTAGATTTCCTAGGATAGTAACTCTCGAGAGTACTCTGAAATTGCGTGTACAACTCTCAATACTGTGTTCACTGATAAATTTGACTCTCGAGAGCAATTCGGGGTAGTTCTACTCTCAAATGGACACTTTTAGCAATAGAGGTGCGAAAAGAGAGTATTTTGAACAGAGTACTTGACAATATCGCGTGAACGAAAATTGCATGTACAAAATACCGATTAAATCACATCTAATCTTACACGACTCAAAAGAAAAATCAAATCCTGTCGTTAGCTGCAGTTCAAAGCTAAACAATTCCTTTTTCACAGCCAACCATTCAAATACTCTTCTTTTCGTCGCGACAAACGTTAATTTTCCCAGCGAAAGACCAAGAAACCTACTATTTTTCATAGCCAACCATTCAAACGTGCTTACTTCCACAACGAAAAGCGTCACATTTTTCGCGCCGACGAAGGCAAACCTCGAATCTTTCACAAGACGA